TTGTTGTAAATTTTTGCACTATAGATGAATCTTATTGAACTGGATTCTATTAAAATCAGTTCTGTGCAGTTCAGTTTAATTCAGATGAACTACATGTCAGTACTGCTCCTTCAGCTAAGTGTGACCACTGTTTGGGTCTGTCTAATGACCAGACTGCACGGCTTTGTGCAGCCGGTCGCGTCTGCAGAATGCCCCATGAATTGGAAAGACAGATATCAGCTTTAGCACCCGGCTACAACTCAGTGCTTAAATGAGACCAGACTTCATTCCATTAACATCTTCAAACACAGCTTGACATTACCTTCCTGCTTCCAGGACACTCTGAGCTTTCTGCCCTTGACTCAGATTATCTCTGGGTGATTTTTGACTGGGCCAATCAGCAAACAGAAAGAGAAGTTGTGAATGGTGATGTCGATTTTCTTCTGTTATAAAATTGTAGTCTGTCTGTAGTTTTAGCAATGGCAGCAGAAGAAGTGAATGAAGCCCTTCAGTCAGTGTTGGTTATGTGTCTAAATATTAGCATTAACATTAATGTCCTCCACTTTTCACAGTGGGATAATGTTAGTGATTGGTTCAAATTTAAAATCTCAACAAAGCCACACCTCCAGGAAGCGATTGTTTCTCAAGAGATGAGAGTCCAGACCCTCTGGACGAAGCTAAGTGTAGAACAAGCGGCTACTTCAAACATAGATGTTATACTACTTATCTGTATTGACATCCTCATTCTTCTTACTTTTATTTTTAATTTAAATTTGTCAGTGTGTCATTCTGTCACAGGCCTGGTGGGTGGGAAAAATCCTGCTTTTTCTCACCCGAAATCCCTTCTGTCTCGCACGAGCTAACAGCATGGTAATGAGACAGCGGCAGATGCTCGCGTGCCTTTACAATCCCTCCAACCTCTGACACACGCTGAGGCTTCCCTCAGCCTCATGAGAAACACATGCTGACTACCAACCTATGAGGACCTATTTATCGGTGGTTGAATAGTAGCTAATAATAAATATTAAATGCTAAAATTGTATTTACCTTTACCTTTACTGTTTTTGCCTAAAACCTGTCTGTCTCTGGCTCTTTTCCGGTTTGGGGAATTTTGTCATTTTTTCGTCTTTTGTAAACTATCAACAAATGACTCCAGGGAAAGCACAGAGTGTATGCTTTCCCGTAATTTAAAAATGCACACTTGACACAATCCCCCTCCTCCAACGCAGCCGTCTTCTCTCCACCTGCTATGCTGCCTTTGTCACAGGGATCTCCTGCTTCATTTCAATGATAAAGTTGTGGAGCCCCTCACCCTTCAGCCCAGCCACTCTACACCATCTCTGAACTCTTTTCACAAATTTTATGGTCCCTGAGGGCAACTCTGCATTCAACCATCCACCCTATCACTCTTCTCACGTCCACATGAAGCATTTGGGGTGATGAGACTTTATTCTCATTGGTAAGACTTGACTCTGTCTTGATCTAGAATGGCTGTGTGCCTGCATGCTAATCTGTTGGTTTGTACAACTATCATAAAGAATATTTCTACTGCAGTGTTGCTGCTGGAACCACTAACTTCTTTCATACTACACTTCCCATCCATTATCTGCTGATACTCTTTACGCCTTACAATGAGCTAAAATTCAGAGCTGGGAATTAAAGCCAACTCATTGTTACCCATTTCCATTTTAAATGTGTGCAAAACCTTTTTTGGTATTCTACTAATCTTGAAGAAAACACAATTTTGCAATTGTGGTGTTTCCATTAAATAAGAAACACATTTCAAACCCAACATGAATAAGTTTGTTAATTTAAAACATATCGCTTCTTCATCCTCCAATCATCAGGTTGTTGATCGCATGACTTGTGTGTTGCAGTTTTGTGAAATATGCTAAAATCTGGTATGGCCAAAAAAACACTTCATCCTATTGCAAAAACTTTTTATTTTATTTTTTTATTTTTTTTTAATTGGCATGTTTCTATTGAGCAAATATATTTTTAGAATTCCATTTTGTGCATTTTTATGTTCAGCGGAAATGTAGCTATTGATATGAAAGCACCACTGACTGTTGCGCATTATGAGTTAAATGGTCAGAATTAATAGTTTAAGGATTCCATTTGATTTTTCAAACAAGGAACACAAGAACTCTAAGTGTTGAGCACAAATGGGGTGCATGATTACACCTGGAGTCTCTAAATGAGATTTAGTTTCCTTTAAGGACTTTAGATCACAAACAATTAAACACAAAAAAAAATCTCTCCCGGGACAGGCAGACATGCAGAGAGACCCGTTAATGTTCTGTGTTCTTGTAGCGACTGGTTTCACCTTTGGAGATTTTCCACTTTACCAAAAGTCATGAGTGCTGAACTTCCACATGCTGTTGAACTGCTGATGTAAAAAAAGACTGATTCAACTGACAGACAGACAGAAGTGACAACATAATGCTGATGTTCACAAACACACGAACATGCTACAAACTCTGCCCCCTGTGAGCTATGCATCATTCGTGTGTGTGTGTGCATGTTTGTCTGCAGCCGATGTCCATGTGTTTGTTCAGAGACAGATGGCGGCGCATTGAGTCCATTCCCACGGCTCATACATAGGAATTTAAAATGCAGATAAAATCCATCACAGAGGCCAGTCCGTAGGAAGATCATTGTGTGGAACTAAATGGTGCTCCCGTCGGCCTCATGCTCTAGATTCCCCTTCAGGCTTTCAGCTCCAGATGAAGCTTCTGGAAAGTGTTTGTGGGCAACGTCTGCATTCACCCTGAATGATTTTCTGTTACCGAAGAATAATTTAGCTTTTGGACAAATTTATGTCTGATAATGTATAATATTCACCAGCTTTAGCAGCTCCACTTTAATGATTACTTAACAACAGATACATAAAACTTGCTAAAAATGCCTCCCCGACTGCTTTCATTAGTTGAACTTTAAATTTTTTTCACGGCAGCAAGAGGAGTGTTAGGTTTTGTCTATCATGGGCTGGAGCTAATTCTCCCTGGCTGGCTGTCGGGTGGGTCTGATGGGGTCATGATAGATGATAATTGTAGGTTTGGGTTGTCTGAGGCTCGGGCCAGATGGCCTGGTGCTGCTTTCATAAAGCGCTGCTCGCCCACTTGTTTGCTCTCTGCAGGCTGATCAGCATAGAAGGCTTCCACAAAACATTGTTATGCAGAAGGCCATGAGCAGGAGGGGTGGGGTCAGAGCCTTAAAGATTCTGACAATCCAATTTAGCCTAAAAGTACTATTGCATCCTCATATGCCAAATCTGTCACCTATTCCCTCTCTGCCTTGTGATTTGCATTTAACAATAAGAATATGCTGGTTTAAAAATAGTATTATCTTTTCACCTTCCATAGAAAACATGTTAGCTTCCATGTTTTTATTTTTATGTTTTTGGAAACAAACTGCAGATTTCGAAAAGTGTCTGCATATTCATTTGAAAAAAAAAAAAACATTTTGCTTCAAACTTTTTTTGTCTCTGACACCAACTTTAGCAAATGGGAACTGAGAAAAAAATCTGACTGATGAAAGATATTTTCTGTATCTCATAGCTCATTCCACCAACATCAATGATATACTTCACCAATCTCCTGAAATGGTCTTGGTTTAATTTAGCTTTCAAAATTAAACTGAATGTGTTTTATGACATTCAGTTTAATGAAATTGAGATGAATCATATAATTTAAGAAACTTTTGCAAATTAGCACGCTTGTTCCTGTTGATGTATCTCTTTCTATTATGTAAATATCTGAAGACGTTCTGAAGGAAAATAAGTTCCGTTGTGAAGCCCACTCACAAAGGATGAAACTAATATTCCAAAACCAACATAAAGGATCAGATTACAGCTTGAAGACGACCTCAGAGACGAACACCTTAGATTTTCTAGAAATATGATTTGGTCTGAAGAAACTCCAGTGAACAAAATCAATTAGGTGATGCAGGACATGATGTGGAAACATGGAAGCAACATTTGAAGTCAAAAGTCAGAAAGTTAAAGTTTTGGGTCTTTAAAATGGATGATAAAAAAATTAAGTCGTGACATAGTAGCTTACTGACAGTGAAGGTAACGCTTAGCAGTGCTGTCTCCTTGTCCTGATCTCAATCTAGAGAAGTTTTGTAGGCAGAGGTAAAAATCACTGTGGCTTAGTCACAGGAGGAACCAATCAAAATATTAAGAAACTGTTGCCAAAAGATTGTGGATGGACACCTAAATGGTTTGAATGAAAGATATTTCTACCAAACTAAGACCTTATACTGGTGGATTCGAAGAAAGTCATGTAAATAAAACCTTGTTTTATCCTGATATAACTTTTGTAATCTGATTTTTGTAAAAACTCTGACCATAACCTAAGACAGAAAGACTTGATATAGTGTCAGGTAGCAGTTTATGTAAATAATGTCTATGCTATATTTTGAATACATCCTGTATGGAAAGGTATCTCGTGTGTAACTGCCCATGAGCTCTTTAAGCAAGGATTTCCGATTAGCAAAATCCTGAAAGTTGCATGGAAACCAAACAGATGAGATAATGCTGAAAGCCTCAATGATTCTTCCAACTTTTAAATACGAAATGACTGGCACCTTCATCTTTTCTTCCTTGTGAGCGCAGTTCAGGCACATAGAGATGAATCCGAGTTGGCACACGTTCTGAACAATGTAAGTCTGTCAGGTCAGTGACGGCTGTGTTAAAAGTAGCAGAGTCCGAATAAATTCTTTTCTGCTCCATTGTTGTGGCACACTTTTAATTCAGGGGTGTCTTCTGTGTCGGTGGGAGGGTGGAAAAGAGAGGTGGACGAGGCTCCCATGAATAATCGCTCCTGTGCTTCCTTAAGGAGGACATTCTAGCGAATTAGGGAAGGAGGGGTGCTGTGTGTGGAAAAAAGAAAAGGGGGAAAGGCAGATGGGTGCGGGGCGGGCGCATAGAGAGAGAAAGGATCGTGGACAGGGCAGACTTCACCCTCCTCCCTCACCCCTCCACTTCTCTCTCACGGTCACACGCAGACTGGGAGAAAGCTGCGCCTTTCTTTGCTCAGACACGCACTCTCATCCATCAGCGCGCACAGCGGAGCCGGATGGACATCTGTACACGCTTACAAGAGTTTATTCTGCAAGGAGACTTAAGTGATCCGTCGCTCTAAAATCATCTACTCTAATTTATCTATTTATATTTATCCCCTGAAATGTGTTGGAGTTTAGTTTAGTTTTTTTTTCTCGTCATTGCGCAGCAACAGAGGACTTAAGATGCCAGACTTCTGAGGTGACATCTGTTTTTTTTTTTTTTCCCCTCCCGTCTTCTGATTTCCCCGTCTTTGTGGAAGTATTCACAACAGTGTGACTACGGAAGATGGGGCCAAACATGATTCAAGCCAAAGGAAATGTCCACTCCACGGTTCCACTGGCGCTGCTGCTGCTTCTGGTGGCTCTTCTCCAAGGTTCCACCGGTAAGACTCTGAAATACAAAGTTTACGAGGAGCAGAGAGTGGGGACAGTTATTGCACGGCTAAAGGACGATGTTGCCGGGGTTTTGTCCAAACTCCCGAATTCCCTGAGCTTTCGGTTCCGCGCGATGCAGCGGGGCAGCACGCAATTACTGTCCGTCCGGGAGGAGGACGGGGAGATCAGCATTGGCACCAAAATCGATCGTGAGAAGCTTTGCGAAAAAAACTTAAACTGCTCAATCGAATTTGACGTGGTCACGCTGCCCACGGAGTACCTGCAGCTGTTTCACGTGGAGGTGGAGGTGCTGGACATTAACGACAATTCCCCGCACTTCTCCCGCGCCATAGTCCCCATCGAGATTTCAGAGAGCGCATCTGTTGGGACGCGCATCCCGCTGGACGGCGCAGTGGACGCAGACGTCGGAGAAAACTCCCTGCACACCTATTCTCTGACGCCCAACAACTTCTTCAAAATAGATGTGAGGACCAGGACGGACGGCGCCAAGTACGCAGAATTGGTGGTGATGAGGGAACTGGACCGTGAGGTACAGTCCAGCTACCAGCTGCAGCTCACTGCTTCAGATAATGGCGTGCCCCCCAAATCAGGATCCACTTTACTCAAGATAAGCATCTCAGATTCCAACGACAACAGCCCAGCGTTTGATGAGCAAGCTTATGTCATCAATTTGCTGGAAAACTCTCCTCTTGGGACTCTGATCATTGACTTAAACGCTACAGATCCAGATGAGGGTACAAATGGGAAAATAGTTTACTCTTTCAGCAGCCACGTTTCACCAAAGATTTTGGAAACATTTAAAATAAATCCAGAAAATGGACATATCACTCTCATCAAGAAAGTGGACTATGAAACCACTGCTTCCTATGAGCTGGATGTCCAAGCCCAGGACCTGGGTCCTAATTCGATACCTGGACTTTGCAAAATTGTGGTGAAAGTAGTTGATGTGAATGACAACAAACCAGAGATAAACATCAATCTGATGTCTCCAGGCAAAGAGGAGGTTGCCTACATTTCAGAGGGGGCACCTGTGGACACATTCATAGCTCTGGTACGTGTTGATGATATGGATGCTGGCCTCAACGGGGAAGTGGTGTGCAGGCTGCATGGTCATGGACACTTCAGGCTCCAGAAGACCCATGAGAAGAACTACATGATCTTAACCAATGTGTCGTTGGACAGGGAGAAGAGGTCAGAGTACAGCTTGACTGTCATGGCTGAAGACAAGGGGTCCCCCAGCCTTTCTACCATCAAACATTTCACTGTTCAGGTGCTGGATGAAAATGATAACCCCCCACATTTTGAGAAAAGTCGCTATGAGGTTTTTAAATCTGAAAATAACTCACCTGGAGCCTACTTAATGACTGTGGTGGCCTCAGATCCAGATCTGGGCACCAATGGTCAGGTCACATACACCATTATAGATGCTGTGATCCAAGCGAGCCCCATTACTACCTACGTTACCATTGATCCTTCCAATGGGGCCATCTACGCCTTACGCAGCTTTGATCATGAGGACGTCAGCCGTGTTGCCTTCACTGTCCAAGCTCGTGACAGTGGGAACCCTGCACTGTCAACCAACACCACTGTTCTCCTCACCGTTATGGATGAAAATGACAACCCACCCATCATCCACTCACCTTCTCTCCGGAACCACACAGCTGAACTTCCAGTGTGGAAGTATGCATCACCTGGTCAGCTGATCAGTACTCTGAAAATCACAGACCGGGACTCTGGTGCTAATGGAGAGGTGAGCTGTTCCATTGTTGGGGGTAATGAAGACGGGTTGTTTGTGATGGATGCCCGGCGGTGTGAGCTCAGAACTAATGCCAGCCTGGAGCAGGCCCCACGGGATGTGATGGAGATTAGTATTGAGGTACAGGACAGAGGAACTAGTCGGCTAACCACAGGAGCCCTCTTTAGGCTCTTTCTGCAGGAGAACATGGACATCCTCCCTCCTCTTTATCCCACTGGATCCAGCCAGGCCTCGCTGGATCTCTCTCTCATTGTCATCATTTCTCTCGGTGGTGTCTGTGCTCTGCTGCTCATCGTGATGGTGATGTTTGCAACGGCCCGCTGCAGCCGTGAGAAAAAAGACCCCAGGCACAACTATAATTGTCGTGTGGCTGAGAACAGTTACCAGAACCACCCTAAGAAGCCTGCCAGGCAGATCCACAAGGCAGACATTACTTTGGTGCCCACTGTCAACGGAACCTTACCTGTTCGGTCTCACCCACGATCTCCCTTACCTTCCCCAACTCCTGAGAGAGGCACTCTGGTGAGCAGACATAGCCATCATAGTCGGCAGTCTCTCAACAGCCTAGTGACTATATCTTCCAATCACGTGGCTGAGAACTTTGCCTTGGAGCTAGCCCATGCCACACCTCCTGTTGAGGTAAAACAACCACTTTTTTATTATTTTGGCCTCATTCTTTACACATTTAGCTCAAAGAAAAATAACAGAACGTGTTTGTATTCACCATCTAAAACAGAAAGAAAAATTGATCCAGGATGTGATACACTGACCATTTATTTGTTTTATACAGAGTCTTTGTTCTGAGTTGTATTCCTTACTTCCATATTTTGTTACTCACAGTCGACCCCCTCATGTTTTTGTCAATCATCATTTCAGGGTCAAATCACAAAGTCATGTCACCTCAGCTTGTAGCCCTTCCCCTCAATGCACTCCCACCACAAACCCAACATTGTCTTGTGGTCTTGCTTGTGGAATCCATTCATTTTCCCCTCTTCATTTTTCTTTTTATTTTTGTCTTTTGTCTTTTTTGTTTCTTTTGGGATTGTAGCAAGTCTCACAGCTTCTGTCCATGCTCCATCAGGGCCAGTACCAGCCACGACCAAGTTTCAGAGGCAACAAATACACTAGGAGCTACAGGTAATGTACATGCAACATTATGTTTTGAAAGCCTTTGGTGTCAGACTTGGGCAGAAATGGATTACTTTTTATGTCAATGCTTTCACATACTTGCTTTATCCATAACCAGTAGGGATATTTTGGCCTGGATCAAAGCTGCATGCTCCACAACTTGAAATTTCCATAATTTTATGCTAAACCCCTTATGCAGAGCACAGTCTGCCTCTGTGAACTTCATGTTTCCTCCCCAACAGTCATGATAGTGTTACAATCTGTGATTAATGCATCAAATCTTATTGTGACTGTGCAGATATGCTCTCAATGAGATGGATAAGTTCAGTCTGAAGGACAGCGGTCGTGGAGACAGTGAAGCTGGTGACAGTGACTACGAACCTGGAAGGGAGTCACCCATCGACAGGCTCCTTGGTGAGGCCTTTACTGAGCTATATTCCCCTGATGGCCAGCACTGTTCGCATGCAGGTACAACCCTGTTCACTACCCGCAACTTCCCTACTGTCTCAACCTCCACCCCTGGGTGCATTCACTCCATCCCAAAACTCAACCCCTCATTTCCCAATGTAGGCTTGAAACTGTGGTCTGTGTTTCCCCTGACTTATGCATATAGTTAGAGGTAGTAACCCCATCTAAAGAGTATCAGACAAGTCCAGCAAAAATATTAAAATTTCTAGAGCTGTACAGCATATAGAAACACAGTCGTCCTCATGCTAATGACAGACTTAGCCAACTGGATCTGTTCTCATACTTTTCTGACAAAACATGAACTCAAGGGAGTGATTTGTAAACCTACTCAGTGATGTCATTTCAACATCCAACAATAATATGGCTCTTTCATCTTTTCCTAATATTCTGCAGCTCTAATATCTACATCAGTTCTTTGGCATGTCTCATCTCTGAGGTTTATTCCTGACTATGTTAATTTGTTTTCTTCTGTCTCTAGCTGTGTCAGGCCTTTGTCATTGTGTTGGTCCATATTAGGGGTGGGTGATATTGGCAAAAAAATAAAAAATAACAATATGTATATTTTTAATACCTTAATGACAACATCACAGATGATATTCCACACTTTCTGCTTTTATTATCTATTTATTTTCTTATTGGATTTGACCAAACAAATAAGTAACTTCAAAACATCTTTGTTTTGCTCTATTCTATAAACTGTCAGAATAGAATAGAAGGTATATTTTCCAAATTAATTTATTTTGTCACTTGTACTTTGTTTCTTTCTAATATTTTCCCTGTAATATTTATGCCGCCTCTTTATTAATACGATAATAAATCTTTCAAATTGTTCAACAGCAAATTACATGTCATCGACAACGCCATTGAAGTAATATCTATCGGTGTTCAGAGGTTTGGTTTTTAAACTACTTTTAATGCGATAAGCCAGAACCCTAGTACAAGAGTATTTTTCTCATCTCAACTTAAATGAGCCAGCTGTAATCATCACAAAAGAATACTTAAAATCACACACTGACTGAAGTCCAGCAAAGAAATGCAAATGGGGATCAAAGTGGGGCCTCTTCAGCCTCTATAGAAAATGGCCTCTCTAACAGCAGACCTAAGATTTTGCATTGCATTATTTGCTCTGATTTAATGCAGCAATGATGCAGAAGGAAGACAAAAGCTGTAGACTTTTCTAAACAACTCCATATAATCAGTATAACTATTCGGCACTTAATAACTCATTCATGCTGACTATGAGCTTTGTCTTTCCTGTTAAAGCATCAGTCTTCAACCATATTGTGAAGTGTGCACTGTTAGAATGATGAATGGTAAAGAAGTTAGAGAAAGGTGAAAACCCTACACTGAAAAAAATCTCACATTGAGCTGGAGTGATCGTTTTGCACTAACTGCTTTTGCCTTGGAAGATGGTGACTGCTGGCATATGCACATCTATCCTCAGTGTGACTAAGTTCTATAGATATCTTTCCAAATATCTCTAGTGATCCTCCATTACAGCCACCCATTGCTTCTCTGTGCTGTCACACTGCATGGACTTCCATCCTCTCTATTGCCCAGTGAACAAGTAAGAACTTAGAACACTTGTTGAGTATCCTGTCTGACTTTGAAATGCTGAGCTCTCAAGCATCACATATATGCCAGCTTGTCTATTAGTTGTGAAGGACACAATTGGTCACTTCCTCCAAAATTCCTCCTTCTGTCTCCTGTCTCAGCAGACGTTACCGAAGTTACAGAGCAGCTTCTTTTATTACCCCATCCGTTTTCTCCCAGTGCTGGTGCCTCCACTCATCCAGCCAGCTTCCCACACAGCCATCACTCGATACGCCATTTGAGATACATCCCAATTAAAGTGTCTGCAGACGGGCAGAGAGTCTCATCACTAACACCTCCTACCCCATCTCCCCTCCTTTACAGCTGTGTGGAGGAGCTCAGCTCGTTAGTCAATTTCTTTTTTTCCTTCCTTCCATCCTTCAAGCTTTCACTCATTGAATCTGAACCTCTCCTACTTCCCTGATGAAAAGGAGCCATTTAATTGCCATGTGGCAAATAGTTGCTATGGAGTCAGATCTAAGTAGTTCTCATGATTAGGGCCCGAAGAACATAATTGCAACTCAAAGCTCACCTTTCTCCATATGCAGACTGGGCCCTCCTGCTGCCTCCACGTTCACTGCATGATGGAGGATTCTGAGCAGCATTTAGTTTCCCCTTTACAATTATGACTGGGTTTGAGGACCTCTGCAGACTGCTAAATGCGGTAAACACTGGGGTTCTGTAAGAGAACCCCAGTGTCAATGTACTTTTTGATCTCTATGCAGCATTTAACTGAATACTGTCTGACTTTCTTCATTGGAGTGAGAGGATATTGAAAATAGATGCAGCATGCTTTGACAGTCATCAGTCTTTGCTCACTTTTGCTTCTGGCCCTGATCAAACTAACAGATATTTAGCTAAATCTACATATTTTACTGCATTTGTACCACCAGTCCTGACCTAAAAATGTATAAAAACTCTTGTTTGTGGTGCATGTATTGACTGAATCTCCAGAAATGATTGAAAATCACAACATTTGTGGTGTTTTTGTAACCTTGCCCATATCTGTCTCACTTTATGCTGACTTCACATTCTAAACATCACCCCTTCCAAAGAAAATTGGAGCTGTAATTACTGTTGCTCAAAGATAGTTCAGTGTCTTTAGTTGATTTTCTTCTAATCGTGCTAGCTGTGGTTTCCAGAATTTTACAATATTAATACGGTAAATTATATTTCATCGTAATTTAATCGAGATGTATCTCAAATTGTGTGTCAAGTTTGGTTTCTTTGTTTTCTGGGGGTTTTTAACAGTGTGATTAAAATACTATAAATATGTTTCGAACGACAAATTGACTTATGAAATGATTTCATTATATATATACTTAACCTGAACCTGTACTAAGTAAATCAGTTTTTATTATATCAAACTTAACCAAAAGACAATTATCAGACACAGAGGTGAATGAGTGAATGAGTTACTGAGGTTATGTGAATCAAATGTTGGGATTTATCCATCTCTGACAGTTTCAGTTAAAAAAGAGAAAAAAAAAACAAAAAAACATTTGACTGTAAAAAAGAAAAAATTGAAAAACTCAGGCAGGCAGGAAAAGCACTTAAGATCACTTTAAGGTTCATTCTGCTTTTCTTAACCTTTCCATACAAAGCCAGACTTCTGTATTACATCAAGGACATACTGGAAAGTTGTAGCAGAATAATTCTGATTCACATCAGCAGGGTTTTATTTGTAAAATTTAAAAAGTGATTAAGGTATATTGCCAGTTAATCTTCTTCACAGATCATTTTTGCTGTTTTGTTGTTTTTGCCTGCTCAGATGAATAGAATTGGTAATTGGTAGTAAACAATTACATTCTTTGCAATTTAGCTGTGTCAACTTGAATAACCTTGTCAAATGATTTGCTGGCAAATAAATCAGTTAAACTTAGACCCAGCCAAGCTTTCAGGCAAACTTTCCTTGATGTATTCTTCTTTTTATGTTCACACACAGATCACTAGGGTTAAATCTTTTATTTTCATCCTTTCATCAGTGGGGCAGCCAATCAGTCTCTGCCTACGCAATTTTTTTCTTTTTCCTTCCAGTGCGCCCAAATGCACTTTTCATCTGCTCTAAGATGTATTATAAATGTTCCTTTCATGTTAATGAGGGGATAATGAAGTCCCTCAATGACATCACTGAAAAGCACTGCACTCCTCTAATGAAGGCTTTACGTTGACATTTTTGATTTGTCTAATTTATTCTTCTGAGATTTTCTATTTGAAGATTTAATATTGAAAAGAGTGACATGAAAGGGGAAAATGCAAGGCTTTTAAAGAGGGAGTTATTTTCAGTGTGTAATAGGCATTGATCGGCCTTGCTGAATTGTCTCTCCATGGTAAATACATTGGAAGGTAGCAGGCTGAGCTCCTGCAGAGAGCCTTTCAGACTAATTAGGGCAGATTTCTACCATGTTTAGAGAGCAGGGGGAAAAAACACTTAAGAACTGGCAGGGAGATATCAACAGAATAAAAAAAAAGACACGGGGCCGACTTTTTTTCAGCTTTGATTTTTACATTTGACTTATAGTTCCTTATTTTACACATACAGAATATTAATAAAGTGATCAAATATGTTTTTATCAGTTAATTAGCCCCACTAAAAGTCCAATTTTATTTTTTGTAGGCATAAAAATCTCTCAATACAGAGATTGTTTTTCCCTGTTTCCTGTGAAGAAACAACAAAAAAATGAATTTTATGCTTTTTAATATTTTATGATCATTGGTATTTTGTTATTTTCTTTGTCATTAAGTTTTTTAATGTATGTAAGGTTTCCAAACTTTCTGTGATTCATCCTAGAATATAGATCAAGAGTAAAATGTGGCTTTTCCCAGTGTGGAGGAGTTCTAAGTGAAGCTGTTCTATTGTCAGTCTTCACATGATTCTCTGTATCTTACATTAATTTAAAGAATAATGAAGTCTATCATGAAATAATGTCATATTGTTCCTGTTTTCCCCAAAACATTTGAGACTCTGGACACCATTTTTAGTTTTATTTTTAGTTGAAGAAAAGTCAGACATGGTCAGATATTTTCTGCTAAAAGGATAATTAAGACATTAATTAAGGATAATTAAGATGTTCATTTTACCATGACTTTTGACATTAATAAATATGAATGACTTTTTAACTTTGAAAATGTTTTTAAAGTATTCTTCTGGTTTCTTAAATTCTTAGACATGTTATACCTGAAACTGAACAGCATAACCAACATTCTCTCAAAAATATTCAAGATAATCAAAATGTCCCCAATAGCTTTACAATAGAACGCTTTCTACTGTGTAGTAATGAGGATTTGTCTTTCTTGTTGCAGCTATGAAGCTCTGCACAGAGGAGTGCCGAGTTCTGGGCCATTCCGATCAGTGCTGGATGCCCCCACTGGGCTGCCCTGCTTCTTCCTCTGCTGACTACCGTAGCAATCTCTACATTCCTGGGGAGGAAGCTCATCAGGCCACTGACATCACTCAGGAACAGGTCCCCCAGCCTTGCACTGACACCTGCACTGCTCGCAATCAGAGCTTTTCCACTTTTGGCAAAGACCTAGGTGGGGAAGATGGTGCAGAAGAGGATGGGCTGGAGGGGGGCTCCAAGTCTACAGACGAAGACCTGTGTGGGACCACCTCACTGCTGTCGGAGATGAGCAGCGTGTTCCAGAGGTTGCTACCGCAGGGTCTGGATTCTTATGTCCAGGTCAATGAGAACCAGAAGGGGACTAGCTTGAGTGGTGTTGGCGTTCCCATGACGGGATCTTTAGACCGTCGGAGGGGTCATCTACCTGGAAAGCCCAGCCCCTCAGTTTACCAGCAGGGTGTAGCAGCCTGGGCTGCCAATACTCACTTCCAAAATCCAGGAAGTAGCATCGGCCCATCTGGGCAGCATCAGGGTGGCAGCTATCACACCCTCAAAGCCAACACTAAGCTCAGCTGCCAAAGCAGCAACAATAAAGGATCACAGGCACCTAAAAACAGCCCCCAAAACAGCGGCCACAGCCCGAAACCCACCAGCAACCCCCTCCTGACCGGACTGGTCAGCCCAACACTGGTGCAGACTTCTTTGACCCAGCCCCCAGTACAAGCCATGCTCAATGGGCCCTCTTCAAAATGGCTTCCAGCCATGGAGGAGATCCCAGAGAACTATGAGGAGGATGATTTTGACTCGGTGCTCAGCCACCTTCAGGGCAAGCGCAGTGACAGCCGGCATGAGCTGGTGGACGCCAGCGAGCTGGTGGCTGAGATCAACAAACTCTTACAGGATGTCCGGCAGACATAAAGGCCCATCTGCTTATTTATTACTGGATGCTCATTGTTTCCTTTTATGAAGAACAAAACTGTGGGTAAGCATAAAAGAAAAACAGCTAAGTAACTCTTGTAAGAATAAAAAGACATAAAAGTGAGACCTGCAATTGTCGTTAAAGTTGCATTTCTTCTGAAATGTTTGTGTTTTGTGAATGCTAAATATCCAAATAAAATGTTTGTAAATGCTGTTTGGTACACAATGTACAATATGTGACTGTATTTATCTTTGTATTTTAAAAATACATTTGTATTCTTATATTTATAAAAAAAAGTGTATATAAATTTAATCAAAAGTCTATTTTTATAATTTAATGCATGTTGAGTACAGGAACGATGAATCAAAACTTTGACATGCGATTGACATTCTGCATATTTAAAACTCTTTTGTATTGTGATTCTTTTTTAACTGTCAATAATATATGTATACCTGAGTATACATATATTATGTATATTATATTATTATATTATATATTAAGTGTCCCATAATTATTGGACACTTATTGTTGTGACTTATTGTGAAGAGAAGAGGAGGGTAGAAGAATAAAACAATTGACAAACCTCTGATGGTTATGTTTTTGCTGGTGATTGTCAAATGTAAATATTCATTTGCTAGCATAATGAATATTTATGCTAGTGTAACCTGGTTGAATTTATATGTTGTTATAATTACTCAAAATGTTTTTCTTTGGTTATTTGTATGGGTTCCTACCTGACTGAAAATCTGTTATTGTTTTAACTGTGTTACTTTAAGAACGGAAGCCCCTCCCCTTTTGTTTCTTCCTCTGTGGTATTGCCTTTAAAATGTTTGCGTCCCTTAGACCCTCCCCTTTTGTTGTCCTGTGGGAGAGGTGTGTACTATTTATTTTGTATCTAAATACATCCAGTTTATTTATAGATTTATTAAGTTAATTTCTGTTATGTACTTTTGTTTATGTAGGGCTTGGAGCGGGCAGCCTGAAAAAACGGTTATTTCTATTTGTTATTCTTGTCAGGTATGTTGTATAGAAAGGTTTATTTTGCATATTTAACATGTTGTGAGCTAAGACCCGCCCCTTTTTGTCGTGTTGTCCTGTGGGAGAGGGCTTGGAGCGGGCAGCCTGTAACACGGTTATTTCTATTTGTTATTCTTGTCAGAATAAACCCTTTTAAAGGTGAACCACGGCCTGATCATTTAAAACCAGCACAACGCAGATCGGATCCGGTTACACTAGCAAATTTATGCTAGCAAATTTAGCTGAGACAAGATTCTCAGCTTAAAAAAGGGGGAAAATACAACATTGATATTTAGTTGCATCCCCAGACTAATGCTCAGAGATGTGACCAGAATGAAAGAACCAAGCCACTGCTCTTCAGATCAGAAATGTCCTTGTTCACTGGCCGGATGGAAACATGAAGCATTTTCTCAAAAATCACAAAACAATAAAGGTCAATAAAGATCTCCCTGTGGGAGACACAACTGTGGAGGCAGATGGAAAAAGCTACTGTGAAGAGACAAAGAGGTGCTGAGAGCTTCATGGAGGATTTTGTTAAATCCTCTATCCCCCCCTCCCTCTGGACCTAGCCCCTGGGCCCCGGCCTCTGTCCCCTGGACCACCACATCAATCCCCAGCCCCCTTGTGCAGCTGGAACAGCAAGATACTGAGTGACACCTAGAGGTTCAACGTGTGCACTGAAACCTCATGACTCCAGCTCTGAGCTCCCGGCGCCTCATCACTACCACTGCAGCTATCAGCAGCTAAACACAGCAAGTAACCAAACAGAGCCCCCTGGAGGGAGCTTTGCTGAACTGCAGTTTGATGAAAAAAGGAAAACAGACACCGATGTTTCCTTAAAGGGTAATGAAAGCGAAAGCAAAATTTATGCCATAGTACCCGAGTATAGCTTTATAGTTTATATTCATACTTAATTGGTTCAAGAAAGTTTCCATTAAGTCTTCATGCTTAGTGGATTATTTAAATTTAATTGCTTATAGATTACTATCTTTATCCACAACTTTGAGCTAAATTAGGTTCAACAATGACAGGTTTGGAGGAAATTTGACATGTTTTATTGTTTCTAAGTGAGGGGGCGGGGCTAATGGTCACCACTGTTTTCTTAAAGCAAGAAGGTCCAAGTTTGTCTGTGGCACTTGATGTTCACATGTTCTTCCTGCATTTAGGTGTTAATTAGAAAGTTGTGTGAATGTGTGTGGATAGTTGATAGTTTCATCATTAAAAGTTAAAAGTCTTCAGCTGATCATAAATGCTGCAGCAAGAGTTCTGATGAAAATTAAAAAGAGAGATCATTTTTCTTCTATTTTAGCTTCTCTTCATTGGAGGACCAACTGACCATTTCTCCTCATGCTGCCTTCTCTTCCTTTTGTCCAATTTTGCACAATTTGCTGTTATTTCAGATTTTATTTTCATATTTCCATCAAGTCTCCTTTTATAGATGATACAATTGGCTTGTCTTTCCATGTGACCATATCTATGTCGACAATTAGCAATCGGCTGGGGTTTTGCTGTGGCTAACTGTTTGTCCTCTTTCACCGAACATCATTAAATCCATCTCAGAGCATATCTTTTAAGATGTTTCTCTCCTTTATGAAACCAATAAAGTGCTACTATTGTCATTAACTTATTATTTTTCTCTAACAGAAAAGTACTGAGCAGGAGTTCATCTCTTTCTTCTTGTGCATTTGGGTCTGAAAGCTCATACTAAATTAGATTCTGGTTCTGCTGGAAGTTTCTTCCTTTTAAAGGGGAGGGAGTTTTTCCTCTACATGCACGCTCTGCATGACGGACTGCTGTAAAAGCAACGACAACGCAGAATCTTGTGACTTCATGTTTGTCCACCATTCACCTCCTGTGAACACAAATCATCTGAAGGCACTGCACTAAAAAGTAAATTCAGTCATGCACAGTTCTTTCCAAATGATGCTGGTTATTACCAAACTGTGGATTCTTCTTTGCTTTGGTGCAGAGTGCCATGACCTGAATTTAGCTTGTGCTAAATGACAAATTATGTTCGTGCCAGACAACAACAATACCAAACACGCAACACACCATTATATACTTACATCTCACCATCATGTGTATATTCAGGCCAAGTCTTCTGGTATATCCTCTGGTATTTGATAGTTTTTAGAGGACTTCTTCCTGAACTGATCTGAACAATCTACAACTTTCTTTGCCAATATCCCAGGAACATTGCAAGAAAAGATCAAATGAAGTCATCCAGTTCTGTTCTCCATGACTGGGAGGGAAAATGCATGAACACATGTTCTGTATTGCAGTCGACGGGAATATAGTTTCCTTTTCCAGCAGCCATTATTCCCAAATGGTTGCCTTGTGAGTGGGTGGACCAAAAGTGAGTTTTGCATAATAGTGGATCTTTAATGTAATTCTGAGCTTTTTACAATTAAATTCCTAATCAGTTTTATCAGAGGAGAGGACAAAATGCAGACAGAGTGAAAGGCCTGGTATTGGAGGCAGCAGTCAGGTTCTCACTCGAACTGTCTCTGATGTTCATGGTATGGTGCAGAAGATAATCAATCTGTTTTCACTTTGGTTGTCACCTCTCACAAAGCAACACAGCGCTCTCAGCTGTCAAGACAATATGCTTCTGTTTTCAGTTTACATTACAGCAACACTAAAAGATGTTTTTTTTTTCATTTAGTTTTTTTTTTGCACCAGAATTACAGGTTCGACAATGCTGCTTTTGTCTCTGAGTGTGCCTCAGTGAAGCCGCTGTGTGTTTGTTTCTGTGTGGGGTGAATGTAGTAGTGCTGCTGCTGTGTGACAAAAAGCTTGTAGCCACGGTGGGAGGAGTGCTGTCCACAAATACACGCAGGCACATTGATGATGGAAGGGCTGGCTGTAGTTAGATAATGGACCATCAGCTGAATAATGGCTGCTGAATGTGTGTGGTTTATTGTTTGTGTGCAAATGTCTTATTATTTCTTTGTGTAAGTGTGTTTTCTTACCTTTTCTTGTGCGCTTCATTTTGACCACACACATTTTTTATTTCTGATTGTTTCATGTAGCACTTTTTGTGTAATGATGTTTTTAGTACAACACTGACACATGAATGTATCCTCCTGCATGTGTAATTCAGGCCTATATCTGTACCCACTGTTTTTCTGCTTTTAATGGGTCGGCATGGGTGTGCGTGTGTGTGTGTGCTATAGAGAGAGAGGGGGATAACAAAGCAGCACAATGGGGAGTGGATGTGTGTGTTCGGGCTCAATAAGCCGGTGTAATCTTTGTGTATATGTCAGTAAACACCTTGGTGGGTTTCTGGCCACTATCTGTGAACATGCTGGGGGTGCCCACAGCAGATTAACCTGATATCAGTGTTTATGTGTGTGGAAGCGACAGGATGTGTCAGACATACAAAGAAGATGGAAGTCAGTGTGTGCAGCTTGGCAATAGTTTTGGACAGATAGCACAAGTTTTTTGACTCTCTCTGAGATATGTGCTGAGCATTTATAAAGCAAGATTAGAATAAAAACAGAAAATCACCGTAATGGAGCTGTTTCGTCTTATTTTTTACCAACATCAGTTGACAAGAACAAGAAGGACAATAAATTACTTGTGGTATACAATTGTTCTCTAAATAATTTATTTGAATTTAGGATCCCAAGAGGGATTTGCATGGACGGTCCAAACTCCCAAAATGAGTTTCACAACTCATTTTGGTTGTGAAACTCATTTTGGGAGTTTCAATGGACCACATGAGGAATGGACCTCATGTGGTCCATTCCTTCTTGTCAGAATCCCCTAGCAAACTTTTAACATACATTTGTTTGCAAATTGGTCTGAATTTTATGGGTGTTTTTGTTTTTGAGCAAAACATTCAACCTCCATATGCTGCTTTAACAGCAAAGAAGCAGAAAAAAAAAGGATTGAGGGTTTTGAGGAGCAAATATGTGAGGCTGTGAGGAAATGCGTACTGTTGGACCACAACACAGAAGTCCACGGCTCGGTTCTTCACAGGAGCTCAACTCAGTGGGACTTGTGAAATGTGTGTAAAAATAAACGTCCAGAGCCATGTAACTGCTCTTCCACTGTTTAAGACTTTAAGATAGTAACTCTTTTGATTCTATTCTGACATATGTTATGGTTAAAGCTATACTCCTATGACAATTCTGGATTTGGCACCACCCATTCATTTTGCTGTTCCAGTGTATGAACAGAATCACCACAGCATGATGATGCCAACACCGTGTTTACGTTTTCTGGGTCCCCAACATGGCTGCCAGTAAACTTTAAATAGAACACTCTTACACTCACCTATCAAGCCACCTTGGCTCCACCGCTTTCTACTGCTCTGCTTTGTTCCTTGGACCTGGTCTTAGTCTTATTTTTGACTTCTTTCACTGAGATCAACACAGGAATTGTTCAAAACACTAAAATATACTACTTCTCAGTACTTCTATGCTGCTTCAAAGACTATAAAGCTGAACTTTCATGAATTTGCAGAAAATTACACAGTGGTGCATTTTTGACTTATTTCACTGAGAGAAAGCTTTTTTCGTCTTAGTCTTATTTTTGACTTCTTTCACTGAGATCAACACTGGAATTGTTCAAAACACTAAAATATACTGCTTCTCAGTACTTCTATGCTGTTTCAAAGATTATTGAGCTGAACTTTCATGAATTTGCAGAAAATTACACAGTGGTGCATTTTTGACTTATTTCACTGAGAGAAAGCTTTTTTCGTCTTAGTCTTATTTTTACTTCTTTCACTGAGATCAACACTGGAATTGTTCAAAACACTAAAATATACTGCTTCTCAGTACTTCTAAGCTGTTTCAAAGATTATGAAGCTGAACTTTCATGAATTTGCAGAAAATTACACAGTGGTGCATTTTTGACTTATTTCACTGAGAGAAAGCTTTTTTCGTCTTAGTCTTATTTTTGACTTCTTTCACTGAGATCAACACTGGAATTGTTCAAAACACTAAAATATACTGCTTCTCAGTACTTCTAAGCTGTTTCAAAGATTATGAAGCTGAACTTTCATGAATTTGCAGAAAATTACACAGTGGTGCATTTTTGACTTATTTCACTGAGAGAAAGCTTTTTTCGTCTTAGTCTTATTTTTGACTTCTTTCACTGAGATCAACACTGGAATTGTTCAAAACACTAAAATATACTGCTTCTCAGTACTTCT